AATATTAATAATTTAAAAACAGTGTCATTTGCTATATATGCAAAAAGGCAACCCCATGTGCGTCAGGTTTTCAGTAATATCTCTATATGTTCACTTCATTTTTACAGTGTATACTGCCTATGGTCAAAAGCAACAAAACAGCTAAAAGGAGAGTCAGTGTTGGATTCACTTATTCTAGATGGTCACAAAAAAAAAGCGAACTCTCTGTGTCTGCTGGATGTGTAAACAGGAAATAGTTTGGATGTTGAATCACACTATTGGCTGACAAGTTTTCAGCTTACTGTATTTTTGGGAACAGCATCGTCAGTAAAAATAAATCAAAAGGGGAAATAAACACGAGCATCCAGTGGATCAGAGTTATGAATATTTCACCAGGCGAGACAAACTTATGGGAGAGATGGTCTGGTGTTTTCACAGTTTATAGACCAACTTCCTGGTTCAACTTAGACCTGCCATACATGTCACAGTCTTTCTTGCATAGAGGGATTATTACTGACATTAGGGTGTACTCACCTTCAGTTACACCTGGAGATGAAGAGAGCAATGACTCTGCGAGAACTACTATACAGTATGTTATCATAGCCAATAGAGATGATGACCAAAACTACATTGAAAGCTTAAACTTTAGCTTCAGAACACTGTTAGCTGTAAACTGAGGTGCAAACAGTGCAGCCTCTCTGATGATGGATCCTCGAGCTGCTCATGGAATGCGTTGGGTGTGAACTCACCGTAGGTAGTTTGACCTCTCGCCTTCCTGTGGGGTGGAGACTTAAGCTCATTATTATTACCTTCATTATTTCAAATGTTGGACCAGATGCCGGAGCGGGAGGGGGCCCAGCACACCCAACAGGGATCTGAGGCACCTGATTGGTCAGAAGGAGAGGAACGGTTCGGAGGCCAAAGGGTAGATTCTTCCAGAGAGGAGACACCATCTGCTGACTGTCTCTGTCTCATTTCACAGCATCTTGCTACAGTAAGGACTCTGAGGAGACGATGAGGACTCTCCTTCATAGGATTATAAAATTCCACTAGCACTGCTTGTCACGACACTTTTTTCCCTAAGAGTGTCCCGCCTGGCCCCGCCCTGCTGTGCTGTGATTGGCTAGTACTTGTGATGTTACACAACAAGGTCCGAGGGGGTCAGGGTAAGGGCAAAGAGGTCATGGTTAGGGCGAGTACTAGCCAATCACAGCACAATAGAGCGGGACTAGGTGTCACATAAAGAAGAAGAGAGAAATCTCTCACTGTGATATCAGCTTCAGATATAATATATAGAACATATATACATAACAGTCTGAGAACCTGCAATTTTATTTTAGTTGTGTTGTGTAATGAAATTATGTTTCATTTTAATTTAGGTACCATAAAGCTTAAATTAAAAGTCTATCCCAAATTAAACGCTCTCTCTCGTCTCTTTCACCAGCACAGCGTCGCTACACATTTAGGTCCCGTTTATACGACAACGATTTCAACTGAAAACGGTAAACTTTAGTTGCGTTTTGGCTGACACAACAGCGGCGACAGTTTACAAGACAGCGGCGTTTTGGGTGCCTGAAAACGCAACGTTTCCAGAGTGCAATTTTTTGGAAACGGCACCGTCTCTGTTGTCATGTAAACTTGCAATATAAGAGACTTTTCGCACATGCGCATTACACTTCCACTTCTTTCACTAGGCATGCGCCAGAAAGTCAACCATCACATCAACAATGGCAGACTCCCGAGCTCTGCTTGTGCTGCTCACCCTATTGAATTTATCAACACTTCTCCATCATAGTGTAGATTTACTGTAGCAACTCCACCTCGTCGCCATTTTGTTTGTTAATGTTTATACATCGCCGCCCAGTAGAAGGAAGCGTAAGTGTCACACCGCCAACTACTGGCCTGGCATGTATACTGCAGTGTTTTTGGTCATTTATGCGGATCACAACGATTGTTATCAAAACGTTGTCGTCTAAATGCGGAACCTTTTTCAAAACGAAAATGGGAAATGATTCTGTTTTCAGTGGATCATTTTTGTGTAAACATGGCCTTAGACAAATAAAGGCAAATCTCAGTTAGATGTCTGGTTTGGTTGCCAAGCAGTTCATTTGGATGTATAAAACGGGTTGTTGCCTATGCACTTGAGCTAACGTTAGGTAGTTTTATATATGTATACATATACATATATATATATATATATATATATATATATACATATATATACGTATGTGCTTTGTTTTTTGTTTTTTTGGTGCATTACAATCTACACGCAGAATCTAACTATCTAATAAAAATGACAATAAATGATTTTAATTGACTTCTTTTCAACAAATAACACGAGTTTATTTATTTTTCATGAATAATTAACTCTTATCAATGAATAAAGTGATGCTTTAAAACACAATGCATATATATTTTGTATTGTATTTGTCATCACTACTCAAAATATCAATTTCTGAAGTGTCTCCTGAAAACAGTCTGTTTAAAACCTCCTGAGATTAAAATTAATATTCCCTTTTTGACTTCTGGTGACTCTCAGAGCCACTTAAATGAACAGATTTTTATTTTATTTTATTTTTTAAGATATTTTTTGGGGCTTTTTATCCTTTAATGGATAGGACAGACAAACGTGAAAGGGGGGGAGAGAGAGAGGGAGTGACATGCAGCAAAGGGCCACAGGCTGGAGTCAAACCCGGCCGCTGCGGCAACAGCCTTGTACATGGGGCGCCTGCTCTACCACTAAGCCACCAGCACCCCGAACAGATATTTTTAATAAAAATTTGGATATGTATTGGTAATATAACATCTAATGTGTACTTTAAAGACAACATATGTACCTTGACAATATGTTTAATAGACTGAAACGTGCCTTGCACTTCCTCCCTATGTCACGGTTGTCCATGCTTGTTAAAAAGGGGGTGTGGCTCTACTGAAGTCTATTTTAGATGACGTGAAACACTGTGTTTGGCCTATAGACATCTCATCAAATAATTCTTTGCATTTAGATCTAGACATCCTAGAAAAGTTATGTCAGTTAGGATGGACTGGGGATCTGAACAGGTTAAAAAGTCTAAACAGTGTGACCAAGATTTATGTTCAGTAGGAAGAAAAGGGTCTGAGTGTCACAGACAGGGTGGGAGGTTACAAAGTATTGAGAGGCAGACTACAACATCTCTGGTTTGGGTCTCTCTGTAGGGTTAGTTGTTAGGAAGGAAAATATAAAATGACCCTTTAAAACACGAAAATGACCAAATGTGTTGTTGCATGAACCTGCAAAAGTTCCACTGGCCAAGTGAAGCCTGATTTTTGAATATCGTATCACAGCTATGTAGCTCTAGTTTCCAAATGAAAGTAAAGAATTATATTCCTGGTGTGTACAGAAACCCAAAATGGAGAGATTCAAGTGGTTTAGTGTAGACATTGTTTGCCACTGACCCTTCTCCCAAATGTCCCCTCGTCCTGCAAAGCTCTGCACATAAATTACACGACGGTGCTGCACACACAGCTACAAATATATCTTACCATGCAGCAAGCTCATGAGCGGAGTGGAACCTGACACAGAGTGACCTCTGCAAGAGAGAGGCTCTTCTAATGAGTGTTTCCTCCACTTGTCTGTGGGTCAAGGATCTGTGCAGATCGAACAGTGTGCGTCCTTTGTTAGAGAAGCACTGTGGAGATCAGCGTTAAGGCATAAAGTGTGCACTTGTGGAAGTGATGCAGGCAGATTTTGAATTAAAATGAGAGAGATCATCCACAAGGAGAAAAGAGTCACCCGCTATGATGGATAGATCCCATTTGCTGTTTGATTTATGTTCCCCCCCTTCTGTGTTTTGTGAAAGTTTTTGTTTTTAATGCCTGAGTTATCAGGATTGTTTTCGCTGATTCCAGAGGAGAATTTTTTCTTGCTTTTGCTCATATGAATGTTGATAAGCGTAATGGAAAGAATTCGGAAAGGAGGAAACTGTTCCCCAAAAAAATCCTCTGCGCTATTTCCTCTGACAGGAAATTGTGTCTTTGATGTAAGCCACCACACTCATCTGGTCATCGCATGCGAGGTGTCACTCCTTCCTACGGCTGGGAGGAGGAAATTTGCCATGGCCTCTGTGGTTCATGCAGAATGCCCGTGTGAATGACACCGAAGCCCCTAAAAGATGCCAAAATAAGATTGTAAATTTTAATAAATCTGTGTACCAAAAGTGTGTCTGATGGAGGCACATACTGTACTTGGGAAAGTAGGACACCAAGACAGCTCCATTTGTCGTCCACTTGTCGTGCACTTGCGTCATGCTTCCTCTGGCAGCGGGGGAGTGTCACTAATGAACACTATTGACCAAGCACAGTCTGGGATGAAGATTCACACCTGCCAGACTACCTGGGAGTGTGTCCTCAGTGTGTGTGTGTGTGTCACCTACACTGACAGTGTAAGGGGTCATTTTCCTGTGGAGCGTCCCACATGGTCTCAGATCAGTCAGTCAGACACAGGAAGCGGATGATATCACACTCACATGCCTGTGACATCATGCATTTTGCTTGTTATTTCTCACAGTTGCATTTGAGAAGCAGAATTGAGATGAAGTTGTGTGACATGTGGGTTGTGGTGTCGGTGTTACAGTATGTGATTTATATCCTGCAAACAGACGGTGGAGGCACGCTGATCTTGATGCGTTGTTTGTCACAGTTAGAGTCGACTGCATCATTACTGCAGTGTGCCGCCTGGGTCTGCTCAGCGTCAGGGGGCGCAGGAGTCGTCATTAATAATGTTAACAAGGCCATCAAGACGAACGTGATCTTTGACAAGGTCAGGTTTGATGCAGAGAGGAGAAATCTCAGCGTGACAAAGTGAGTCTGCTAACGTGTTACTGTAGGTATGTGTGGAGAAAGAAAAGCTCTTCAGAACAAAAGCTCTTTGCATATAAAGACAGATCTGAGTGAACAGAGGTGGCAGAAAATGAGAAAATCAACAGCACTCTCTTCAAAGTCACCCTGAAGCCACAACAGCAGGCACCTGTAGACTATCACTTCATTAAGCAGTGATTGGGCGCAGGCTGCAATAAATGCAGCCTCTCTGCTTCACACACACATGCAGAGCAAAGTAGCTTCAGGGCAGTTGGGCTACTGTTGCTTTGACCTGGCTGTAAACTTTGCCACACAGAAATGGCTTGTGGTGTTTATTTGGGGTAACTTTGTTTCAGTTCTTCTAAGTATGTGTTAAGTTGCTGTTTCATTTCCTCTAATCTTGATGTCTTGTCCTCTGCAGGATCTTCCTGATTTTTGTAGTTCAAGCAGAGCATGTATGCTGTTTGTTGGCTTCACAAGGTGAGCAGAGCGCACATGTGCCACACCACTTTAGTGCTGTGATTTACCAGCTGTGGTTTCACACTCTTGTTTCTCTTACAGCTCAGAGCTCCCAGAGACAAAATGGCAACGCATATGTTGGCTTCTCGCAATGGAACAGTGGACTTGGTGGCAGCTATCCCCAGAATCAACTCAGACAGGCCTCAGTTTCTCCAGGCTCAGCCCAGAGTGGTAGCCTCAACACCAGGACTGCAGTTATCAGTGGTTATGGCCAGGGAATCTCCAGTAGTGGCCACACACAAACTGTTTCACAGCCAGCCAAAAATGGCTATGCTTCAGTCAGGTTAGTGCAGAGCAGCTCGGTGTCAAAACCTAACTGGCAAACGTTTAAGTTACATCGGGTGAATGAACAAAAGTCACCAAAACAGTTTTTTGGCCTTTCTACTGCTATTGCAAGTGGAAGTTCTGTGAGTAAGTATGATCAGAAGAGAACCAAGCCAGCTCAGCAGGATAACTCACGTACTAGCAAGTATCAGTCCAGCAGTTATGCATCTGCTCAGAGTCCTCCTAGGGCAAGCTACTCCTACAAGTCAACGGCACAGAAAGCTCCAGCTGCTGCAAAAACGGCAACCTACCAGTCTTCCAGCCTGTTCAGCAGCGGTGCTCCTGCACCAAACAGAAGCCCCGTAAGGACGAAAACATCAGCCAGTGCCCCTGCTAGAAGAGTGACTCCACGTCGTGGGTCTGACGCATCGAAACCCTCCAGTTTCTCATCGCTTCAAAACCAGGGAACTAGAAACAACCCCAGCCAGACCGGGGCTGGGAAACCATACAGAAGCAAACTGTTTTCTGTGAATGCAGGAAACGCCAAAGAGACCTACAAGCCTACTTCTACGTCCAACATGGCCTCAAGCTATGGAAGTTATGGCCGATCTCCTTCAGTGTCTGATAAACAAAGTGTTTCCACCAGCTTCCAGCCACGTGGTGTGGTGCCCTCAAGTCAGAGGTTGAGCTACAGCAGAAACCCGGTGCAGGGAGCTCATAACCCTCCTGCCTCCGGGAGTCAGCGCTTTGCCCCATCCAAAGTCCACAACATCCCAGAACGCTACGGTGGCTCTCCCATCAGACGGCTGAGGGATCCTGATAACCAGAGGGAAGTGAGTGTGAGGAAGCCACAGCAGACTTACGTGTCTTCCCTGCGGCAGGTGGCTCGGCAGTCCTATGTGGCTCCTCAACAGCAGGCTGCACCTGAAAAACCACGGGAAAACAAATGGCAGAGGATCAGGATGAGGCCACAGCTTGGACAGTAGCAGGTGAGTATCTGATCACTTCTTGCCCTTTTTTAAATTTAAACCTGATTACTAATGTGCCGTCTTCCAACAGGTGCAGCAGGTGTCCTGTGAGTTTTTTGAAATAAATTATTTTAAATTTCTTGCATCTTGACTTCATCTCTTGGATGTGTGCTGCTAGAAAAGTGTCTTGATGTAGGCTTGGTGCCATCTAGTGGGTAAAAGATGTGTTGCAAAATGGTTCCTCTAAACCAGTCTTGATGTGCCCAGTGTTGGCAATTCTTTCCAAATAATGGTCTCAACCATACAGCTGAGTGTTTAAGTTGGTGCTATTGCTAGATTGCTCAATGACAGCCTAAACAAAATGCGCCATGCTTAGAGCCAGTCAGATTAAAGACCTCGTTTTCTAAAAGCGCTCTGTCTGAGCACTCTAAAATTAATTTTGGGACTTGTTCAAAAGCAAATTAGTCTTAAAGTGGGACCTTTGACCCTTAACCTGAAACTCTGCTACTGAATGCTGCAAAGGCTGAGACTAGTTTGATAAGGCTTGACTTTCTTGCAAGGGGGGGTTTCTAGAGTATTGTGTGCATTAGACTCCATGTTCAGCACTTAACAGTATCCTGTCTTGTAACTGTCAGACCAGTGTTTGACCTCCTTCTCAAACTTTGCACAAAGGTCCAGTCTCATGCCAGATATCCTCAGCTGTAAACTCAAGCCAATAGTCCTGATGGTGGCGCTACAGCTAAAGTCTAAAGTTCAAAACTTTGAAAATTCATAACAAATCAACCATATGTGCTACAACTTTCAAACTGTAGCCCCAATACTGATGAAACTTTTGTAAATTTAAACCTATTAAAAATTATGTAGTTCATCAGTTTTTCAAACTGTAAAACTTCTTAAACTTATCTCTTCCAACAATTTTTGCTCAATTGACACCAAACTTGCTACAGAGCTTCTTCAGACTGTCCTACAAAAACATTTCTCAGATTTTTTTATCAAAAATTGAGCCTACAGTGCATCAAAATGTTTGACTGTAAACATACATGCAAATTCTTTCTAAATCTTCAATGTTCATGAAGAAAATGACAAAATTCTAGAGTCATGGTAGATGATGTGTGGCAAATTTCAGAATTTTATCTCAAACTGAATTTTTGACAGCATTTTGAATTTTGCTCTAATGTGACCAATTGGAGTCAATGTAAAAATGGCAATTTTAAACATCAGTTTTTCACTTATGGAGCAAATCAATTATTGTTACAAATTACCAACATCTCCATGCTGTCTAGATGCAATGTGTATTTTCAGATTTTTGTCTTAATAACTCAATTTTTTTTACAGTGGTTTGAAATCTGCTTTTCCATGCATGGACGGCTGCTAAACCTGCACGTCTGGCTTAGTCAGTTTGTGAAGCTACACATGAATCGTCACTGCCTAACTAGGTCAGTGAGATAGAAATTCTTAGTCTCAGAGGTTGTGAGTTCAAGCCTCAGCTGATGCAGAAGGCAGATTGTGTTGCTAAATTCCTAAATGTCTTCCAATTCTTCTGCTTGTTGCTCAGAATTGCCTAACAATGCCCGGACCCGACCCATCGCTGCGCAGCAGCTATAATTTTTCTTGTAGTTGAACTCAAGCTAATGTGAAGTAAAAGGGCACTGCACTGATATTTGAACCAAGTGTGTTGAATACCAGTCAACCACTCAACCTGAGCTGTGATATTTCCTTAAAGTGGTGTAAAGCATGGGCGTCAAACATGACACGCCAAAGGGTCCACTCCAGCCCTCTAGATGACTTTGCACACCTAGGGCTGTATTTGGTGAATAACTTTGTCTCATGGTGTGAGCTGAACCACCTGCAGCTCAACACAACAAAGACAAAAGAGCTGGTGGTGGATCTGAGGAGAACGAGGACACCAGTGACCCCAGTTTCCATCCTGGGGCATAACGTGGACATCGTAGAACACTACAAGTATCTGGGTGTGTTCACTGACAATAAACTGGACTGGACTAAGAACACTGAAGTCCTTTACAAGAAGGGACAGAGCCGCCTCTATTTTCTGAGGAGGCTCCGCTCCTTTAACATCTGCCGGACTATGCTGAGGATGTTTTATGAGTCTGTGGTGGCCAGTGCTATTCTGTTTGCTGTGGTGTGCTGGGGCAGCAGACTGAGAGTAGCCGATGCCAACAGACTCAACAAGCTGATCAGAAAGGCCAGTGACGTTGTGGGGGTGGAGCTGGACCCTTTGACAGCAGTGTCAGACAGGAGGATGCTGTCAAAGGTGCGGGCGATACTTCAGCATGGCTCTCACCCTCTCCACAACGCTCTGGTCGAACAGAGGAGCACCTTCAGCCAGAGACTGATTGCTCCTAAATGCACCACTGAGCGCCACAGGAAGTCATTCTTACCTGTGGCCATTAAACTGTACAACTCCTCCCTCTGATGATCGGACTCATTTGGCTATTTATAAAACAAAACACACAATATAATTACTCATTCTTATTTCATTTATAACGCTACAACCATTTCATTGTATATTGTATATATTTCAGATTGTCTACTTTACTATTTTATTATTTATTTTATTTTATTGTCTACTTTAATATTTTATTTTATTTTATTTTAATGTCTACTTTAATATTTTATTTTATTTATTTCATTGTCTATTTTAGTATCTTATTTATATCTTCATCTTTATCTCTTGTTTCCATTCGTGCTGTATTTCTATTTCTACTTTGCACGGAGCATTGGAACAAAAACAATTTCCCCACGGGGATTAATAAAGTATTCTGAATCTGAATCTGAAACATTCTGCGAATACTCAGAGCTCCTTACTAAGCCTTAAAACCTTGGCGTCATTTAGGAAAGTTCTCAGCAACTATGAGCAAGGCAGGGACAAACTTGTACCTTAGTGAGGAGGTGTGGTTGACTCTGTTGCAAGGTATGATGCAGACCTTAACAGATGTGATTGGTTGTCACAGACACACCCTTTTGTGAGCCTGTAAGGTGTGGACACCCAGTGGATGTGAAATGAACTGACTGTGAAAGTGTCATTGTTAGTGTGGTCACTCTGCTGATGGAAGGTTGAGAGACTCAACTCATCACTGATGCACTGTTGCATTTTTTCCAGTTTTCCAAATACCTTGTGTTGTGAACTCTTATTTCTGGCGTTATAGCATTAGGTGGGAAATGTGAGTATGAGACTGACCACAAACATTCTCCCTGCATGATCTAATTGTATAGCATTTCACTAACTCACTGCCGTCCAGTGTTTAGAGAATATTTCTCCAACCTTTGTTTCCACCATTTTCTCCCGTTTAAGAAACTCTCAAGCCTCTTAAAAGTTCTCGTCTCTACTCAAAGTTTTCACCTTAGGACCTCTCTTAAGGTCTAAGATGCTTTGTGAATGACTTATCTTTACAAGGACCTAGTCTTTTAAGGGGAAATTCTAAGAATTTCATCTCTAGGAGCAACCCTTTGTACTTGCAGGCTTTGTGAATACAGCCAAATTTTTAAAGGGATTGATATTTATAGGTTATTATGCAGTGGTTTTAGTGGTCTGGACCACCACACTAAAATGAGTTTGACAGAAGATTACAAAGAGACATCAGCCAAAAGATCCCGCTGGTGTCAAAGAGAACATTTCAGTCTATTTTTGAACAGGCTACTCTATGTGAAGCCAATAAGATCATCAATGACTCCTCATGTTCTGGGTACAGAGCACAAGCTGCTGCCCTCTGGTGGGAGATTCAGAGCACCTTGTTGCAGACTGAACAGGTTTAAAAATTAATTTATACCTCTGTCTATAAATCTTTTACTGGCATTGGATTATTTGTATTTTATAGGGGCATTTTTAGCGTATTATGTTATTCATTTATCTTTTTGCGTTTGTTCTTGCTATGTTGGGTATAATGTTGATTTGTCTCTGTACTGTGTTGTGTGTTGTATTTCTGAGGCTGCAGTATGGGTGCAGGGCCCAAGACAAATTTCCTACACTGTAGGTCTTGGATATAACTCCATCACCATCAATTTCTGCATTTGGCTTCAAATTACTGAATATAAATCAGTTTATTTTGCTCATCTTAAAGTTAAACTGACAATTATCTAAACACAGACCTGTTCTGTACTCAAACCAGAGCAAAGGAATAGATGTTACTGAGTTAAAAGGCAAGTGTGGTGACTCATTTTGCAAAATGTAAATCTGTCTTTTGCAGCAGCGACACCAACGAGAGGGAGTTGTTTTCTGTGATAAAACAATTTTGGGGACGCTTAATATCATAATTAGCTGAACAAGGCCACTCAGGAGCTCAGCAGAGAGAACAGGACAATCGGAAAGAAAAATCTGTAAATTCCAGACACAAAACAAATATAAAAATGTTGTGGGTTTTTTTTAATGCATTTTGGCAACACCCTGTGGTCACATCAGTAAACTACGGTTCAGTGAGGCTGTTGTGTTTCTGTAAATACAACATGCCCAGTGTGATTGCAGATGAATATACATTTTTCTCCTGTATTTTTAGTGATGTGCAGCCAGTGAACACATATAAACCACAGTAACCATAAAGTTCAATCACCTCAGAAAGACTGAACATTACAACCTTTGTTCTTCTGCAGAGCTGCTGTATTAGACCACAATAGTTTTAGCCAAGTGTACCTAACAAACAGAGTAGGTTTGAGAGAGAAAATAAATTCATTAAATATATTATAGTTTTCATCAGGCATCAGAACATTTCCTTGCCTGACAGACGAGAAATATTAATATCATACTCCTCACAATAATGCTGATAGCATAAAAAATATCTGACACTAAAATAGCATTTTTGAGACAGGCAAATCAGGAGAAAATGAACTTTGGTCAAGACATGTCTGCGTCTCAGCAACCCACTCCGCGTATACCATTTCATTCCACTGGGGCAGCTTGTAATGTGTTATCGTTTGTTAGCTTTGTTAGCTTCGGTACAGGCTCACTAGCTGCAGTGTTGTTAAAGGCAAAACTCCTTTTCCTAATTTCATAAAGCCAAATTTGCTAGATGTCATATTCTGATCATCAGACATGTTCTCTGACCTGTTAAGGCCTTTTCTGTACAGATCCTTGCCAGGCAGGGTAAAGTCTCCCATGTAAATCGGGCCCATGCACTTGATCAGGTCCTCCTCTATACCTCCAGCTGTGGTCACCAAGACATCCACCTACACAGAGAAAGAAGAATATTGTATTAGAGAGCAAATGTAATGTGTAATATGCTGTTTTGAAGTACAGTACGTGTCAGAGCGTGTAGCTTAGATTTAGATCGTTCTAATGTCTCATGTATCTGAAGAGGGTCGTACCCATAGATGATATACAGAAGTGGAAGCCAGTGCAGAAATGCCTTAAACCTGCATTCTTTCTAATGACCAGCAGGGGACAACTTGACAGGTTACAAGAAGTCTATGAGAAAATTATTTATTACCTTGGAAATCATTTACCTAATGAGTTTATCAGTAGTTTCAAATCTTCTTCAACACAGCATGATGTTCACTTTGTAAAATATGGTCCCATTTAGGGTAAAATAGATGATCAAGCAGGGTACGAGCTACCTTGTGATTGACAACGTCATCGGTTGCTTAGTCACAGAAAAAAAAAAAAAGACTGGACCATGTCTGACTTTAATTTGAAAGGACAGACACAGGAAGTGTCCACGCTCAGCAGTCAAACAGGAGTTTCTGGTACCTGCGGTTATTCCACAGGCTAGTTAATAACATGTCGGGCAGGAAATCCAAAGTGTGGGATCATTTTGAGAAGGTGAAGGACGAACCCAAGGTGATATGTAAACTCATCTTCATTGGTCGACTACAAACATGACGTATCATCTGAAACATGGAAGTAGCTACATGCCCATTAGCCCACAGCGTCATTAACAGGCGGCTCGCTCAGTGTGTGACGTGCACTTGGAGATAAAATATAGGCCTATATTAATGAAGGTTCATTAGTACGGTTTTGTATTTCTCTGTAATGTAGCACAGTGTTAACAATGTTACTGATACTATTCTTTCTCACACCTTCAACTCAAACCACCAAAATATATCATTTAATAAGCTAATTAAATTAATATTGTAAACATGCGGACGACTAGTCAACTAATGGCCCTAAATGATGACTATTGGTCGACTAGGAGAATTCTTAGTCGGGTAGTCTGGGGCCGTTTTGGTAAGGAACCGGAACCAGGGCGAGAGAGACAGGATCCGGAATTTGATGGATGCGCCTTTCCGACAAAATAAAAGCACCAAGCTAATAAAAATGCGGTGAAACTTTTTAATTTAAAGAATATAATTTACAAGAAAAGCCCCAAGCCATTAAGTTAACCTTTTTCTTTTATTGTAAATCGATGGTGTGCCAGAATTTAAAGTTTTACTTTGGTGAACACTTTTACTTTGGTGAATTTGGTGAATTCCGGATCCGCTCTCTAGACTGGAACCAGAATCCAGACAAAATTCAGAGTGAATGGAAACCAGGCTCTAAGCCGTACGTGAAGAGCCTGGTGACGCGAGGCTAAGTCGGGGGCAGGCCTAGAAGCGGAGCAATGTATCTATTGGACTGCGTTTAAATAGCCGTGAACCCCAAAAGCATGAATCCCAAATAATATTAGAGTTAACGTATGGATGTACCTTGCTTACCAAGCTAGCTAGCTAGTGCTAGCATTAGCTGATAACTTAGCATGCTAGCACTAGCTGGTAATCTGTGTTTAACCATGGACTGTCCACAGACTCTGGGTCAGATCCACCCCTCGCTCCTCCCCAGCTCCGCCCTATTGTCTGAATTATTTGTATATTATTAAAAATTATTTGTACAATTTTTGGTCCAAATATGGTCACTTCTGGCTCCAAAAAAACAAGATGGCAATGACCAAAATGCCAACTCGAAGTTTCATAGTCCACAAACCAGTGGGTGACTACAGTCTATAGTCGTACCATTTGGTGTTCAGCGAGGTAGCGGATATTCTCCCTGACTCCACAGCTGATGAGATTTGACGTGTAACCGAGGAAGATGGTGCAGCCCCTGAGGCAGGGGCAGGTGGATGGATCCTCCTGATTTTTTCCATTCACCAAGTTCCCTGGTTGCTGACGCTTTTTTATCTGTAAATGTGGAGCAGACAGCAGTTCAAGTTCAATTTTTTTTCAGAACACAATTTCAGAAATCACTTTAAAATGCTTTGCAGGTTAAAAATAAATAAGTAGATGCACACACACATATGCTTAACAAATTTAAAGCTTAACTAAACAAATGAAGAAAAAGAAGACTTGTGCAAAACTCAAATCAGAAGTCACTGTTCAACACTTGATGCTTCCATTATGAGATCTGGATTGATTAATATTTTCTATTATTTTTTTGTCTGCCACTCAGAAATTTTATCTGCTACTTCTGAAATCTATGCACTAAATGAAGTCATTCAATGTAAAGAATTACGTCATTCCATTGTTTTGCAAATCACTAGTGAGTCTCAAGTCTTTGCACTCAAGTCCCAAGTGCTAAATACTAAATCAAATATTACATATACAAAAATTATGGATGCAAGTGTGACTGACCTTAATCATATAAAAAGTACTGCTGACTTTCACTTTCATAACATTTAGCACAATTAACCACAGCAGACTGAATTTCTCATCACGTATCAACGTTTGGTTTTCACGCCCACATACGACGTGCAAGGTACCCTGGGTGTGTTGGTTGTTGTAGTTCTGGGACACAGTGTCAACTTCAGCCTGTTACATGCATTGTCTTCTTTCAAAATACACTTCTGTTGTCACAGGAAATTTAATATTTATATACAGTCTCTTTCAAAATAAAGGCACGACGTCTGTACAACAACACGAATTGACGATTTTTTTCCTTCAACAACTAGTATGTGCTTAGGTTTAGTAATAAGAACAGGGTTTGGCTTTTTTAATCTTATGAGCCGCGAATACCGCGAACTGTGAAATATTTTCAATCAATCAATCAATCAATTTTATTTATAAAGCCCAATATCACAAATCACAATTTGCCTCACAGGGCTTTACAGCATACGACATCCCTCTGTCCTTATGACCCTCACAGCGGATAAGGAAAAACTCCCCAAAAAAACCCCTTTAACGGGGAAAAAAAACGGTAGAAACCTCAGGAAGAGCAACTGAGGAGGGATCCCTCTTCCAGGACGGACAGACGTGCAATAGATGTCGTACAGAACAGATCAGCATAATAAATTAACAGTAATCCGCATGACACAATGAGACAGAGAGAGAGAGAGAGAGAGAGAGAGACAGAGAGAGAGATGCAGGTAATAACAGTAGCTTACAACAACATTATTGAAAGTAATAATATTATAGTTATAGTTCTGGCTACTGTGGTACAATATGTTGAAAGTATGTATTAATATCTGGCAGTATACATGTGTGACAATAGTCATATGTGTATAATAACAGTAGAAGTATGACTAATGACTAATGATGGCAGCAGCAGCAGGAGGCATCTGGCAGGACCACGGCAGCAGCACAACCACACACGTCACGCTGTCCAGGCACCGCTGCGATATGAGTTAATCTGAGAGACAGTGGAGCACAAAGGCTCCGGAGAAGAAGCCGAGTTAGTGACATCCAGAATGGCCGAGTTAGCAAGATGCAGTGATAGAATACGAGAGAGAGAGAGAGAGAGAGAAGGAGAGAAGGTGCCCGGTGTATTATATTATTATATGATCTTGTTTCTTAGTTCCTGTTAGTACACGTGCTGCTGCATTCTGAATTAGCTGGAGAGTTTTTAAGGACTTACTAGAGCTACCTGATAATTGATAAGAGTTACAGTAACCCAGCCTAGAGGTAACAAAAGCGTGGACCAATTTTGTTAAAAGATGTATCTTCAACTATGCATGCACTCTATATACATTACACAGCTAGCATACAGCTATGCAGAAAAACTTTATAAATAGAGCTATATTACATTCATCAATCTATTGCCTAATTTGTTTGTATGCTAACGTAAAATTGTGCTGTCTGTACATATATGCATGTTGTAAATTAAGCGTAACAATGCCTGAGGACATGATGTTACCTGCAGCAGCAAAGATAACAACATAAAAGTCTCTAAAGAATTTGAAGTTCTCATTGTGTAGCACCCATCTTCTCACCATGTTGTTAATCTCCATGACAGCTCTGCCAAAGTGGGAAGCCTGGTAACCTGTGTTGAGAAAGGACTGCAGCAGGGCGTGGTGGTTGATTCCTTGGTTAAAGTCGTAGCCCTGGACCGTTGGTGTACCCTTTGGTAAGGGGTCAGTGGGTCTACAGAGCTGCGTAGGTAGTGGGTGGTTATGGTGTGCCATTTTGTCTGAAAGAACAATAAGATACACCGTCGTAAATAATTCCTTGAAGTTGAACATCTATAGTACTTCAAGGCAAATGGGTTAGTTTCCATTAAGGAAATGCAACTCAGAGAATTTTCAGACAGGTGTAGCTAGATGGCAGGCGGCCATGTGTAATCACACTGCCACACCTGATAAGAGCCTGGAGGATCTGAAGCACTCGAGCACACCAAACCAGCACCAAGGAATTAGTTGCAACAAAGGCGTACTGTTGCTTTACCTCATGTCACCTGTGTCTCAGCCAAAAAGTTGCTCTTGAACGCACCGCATTATTCATTACGATCATTATCTGTCGTATTCATTGTATTTATAACTGACAAAAAAAGAGCTAATACAAGACAAACACATATAAAAAACTTAGCAAACAAACAATAATAAATAGCATAAAGTGGGAGAATACAGTATGTACAAATTTGCACATTTTGTCTTCCTGTTTTTGTATTTCACCCAGATGCCTTTTCATTTAGCCCTATGCTAATGCTTATGCACATTAACTAATTAAGTGTCTGGTTTAATTCCTTCAATCCAGGACTGAAATATCAAAAAAAGGTAAACTGTACTGTGTATTATTATTATTAGAATGATAAGTATTAAAAATCTGTCATGCTATTTAGAACAACACTGCTGGTCTCTTTCATGAAGGTAGATTATAAAATTACCTGTTGTTGACAAAAAAATCTCTTGACAAAATACATCCGTGTGATTTTGTCAATGCGCCTTTCCCATTAAAAAACACGGACACCTGCTGCATTAATTTATAGGACCAGGAGGGTGGAGTGGCAGGTAGAACCGGAGCTGCAGTTGGCTCTGCCTGTTTTGGTAATTACATAAATGTATGTGTGTGTGTTTACATGTGTTTAAACCTGTTTGCATTTGCTAAATGGAGTGAAGAGAGGCCTTCTCTAAAACAAAACGTTTGGTGACATACCATCTTTTAATGCATCCCTTGGTTGTTACTCAGTCCATGACCCTCTCACTGAAGAAAGAGACTGTATGTAAATGGTTAATTTCCTGTGACAACAGAAGTGTATTTTGAAAGAAGACAATGCATGTAACAGGCAGAACTTGACACAGTGTCCCAGAACGTCAACAAGGGTACCTTGCATGTCATATCTGGACATGGAAAGTCCATGACCAAACGTCAATATGTGACGAGATCGGAGTGACAATGTGTTGTTTGAACTCCTTCCTTGCACCATAGACTGTTATAAATGTAGATTTTCTAGAAGTGCTTTCATGCACAGTACGCTCCTACAGTAAATATACATTTCTGTCTATGTTGATTTGTTTTACCCTCTTTTTTTGTTGTTGTTATTAAACTGCCTGGGGCCTGTTGTTCGAAAGTAGAATTAACCAATCCAGGATATGTGGAAAAGCGAGGCTGGACAAAGTCTCATAAGTCCATCCTGGCTTAATTGGTTGTTCGAACGGCAAGCTAGGCTGAGGAGGAGCGGTTATGTCAAGCCAGGTGTAACTTATTCAGGTGAGTGCGCATCCACAGCTTTCTTAAATAGACCACATGCGTCGATCACAGTTTCACTGATGCACCAATGGAGAGGACACGTGCGGCTTACTTCTCGCCCAGTGAGCAGCGTGTCATCATGGACACTTATGAGAAGGTTCAACACAAAATAACTAAAAAAAGGAAACAGCAGCAATTATTAAGCAGAGGGAAAATGTGTGGCAGACACTTGCGGACCGACTGAATGCATAAGTATGCTAATCTAAAAATATACACTTGCTGCGCAAATGAATCTGTCAATTACAATTAAAGTTCCCTTCACAAATAAACCGTTGTACACACTACATAATGTATAAGAAGTCAGTGATGTGGTGCTCATAGAAAATATATTTGTAGCATGACACAGATGCTGAACAGCCTGACAGCCTGCCTGGAAATATAGTGAGTATTGCCAATTGCTGTGCTAATAGATATGTGTTTTACAGAATTCACAAACTGTCAGACAGCTATATGCAAGTCATCTGAGGAAGCAGATAGGGCTGGCAGATGTCAAGCTCCAGTGTGAAAAGAGAAAGCTGCAGGACATGGAGCTTGACAGACAAATAAAAAAAAAACTTGGAACTTCGAAAATTAAGAAACTACAGAAAGAATTAAGTGACTTTAATGCACACTGTAAGCATGACTGTGATGCAATGTATTAATCAATGTTATTTCTCTCTGTCTCTCCACAGTTCAAAGCAGACACTGACTGATTACAGTATTTTTCATCTAAATAAAATGAGGTCAAAGAATATTGTGGTTTCATCTTCCTGTTGTCATTCATTAATGTAAAGTACACTGGAGTTACTGGTCCAGTTAACTGGGAATGTAATTTGGGAAGGTCATACAGATATGAAACTTAATAACCACTAATTGTGTGCTATACGCCTCCTTGTATGTGTATTCCAACAATTAATCCTTTTATTGATGAGGATATGTGCATGTCAGAGTATCCTTGGGCAAGATGCTGAACCCCAGATTACTCCCAATATTGTAATGTAATGGTAGACTGACGGCCTTAGTGTGTGTCTTAGAATGGGTGAGTGAGCAGGTGCACACTGCTTAGCGCTTTTATCTTAAGCGCTTTATAGCTACTATGTAAAAATAAAAAATTATAATAAAATCCTGCTATAAGCAGCTATTTAATAAAAACTGCAAACAAAGCAGCTATTTTAACAACCCCCTGCTATAAAAGCAGCTATTTAAAGAACGAGAAACAAAAAAACAGCTCTAAAACCATCAGTATGACCGTCATTGCACGACTCCCTGCTGTGCGGCGCTGGGTTCTCGGACCCAGCAGTCTGCACAGGTAGCGGATCCCATCCCCCGAAAAGCGGTGCCTCTTCCTCTAGTCCTGCAACCTCATTCAAAAACGGACACGCCATTGTGAAGGAAGAAACACACACATGTCATGTGCATGGGACTTTATATATTGCCCTCATCACTGACTTCATTGAAGACACCTGACGATGCTTATTGCTTGATTGATTGATTCTTTTAATGACCACACAGCCAGGCTGATGGAATTTGTTTCCAGTGGAGCTCAATGATACAGGTTCCAACATAAAGGACATTAAACATAGTCTATAACATAGGCCTAGATATACAGACAAACATATTATCACACGAATAATTAGGCTATGACAAAAAGAATGTTTTAAATGTTAACTGTTGTTGTTGTTGTTGTTTTTTTTATTGTAGGCTTAATGTATTTTGTTAAAAAATGAGGCAAATACGTACATAAGAACATGAAATGACGGTAAAACACACTGATTTCAGATCGCATTGACAGCTGACTGGACAGATAAGGCACCAGGCTAAACTAAGCCTGGTTGTGCACAGAATAAATCTCCATGGCAACATATGTGCCTCTGCTTTCGAACAACCGAATCAACGCTAAATTAAGCCAGGATAACCAACATATCCCGGCTTAATCCCTTATCTAGGTTTCGAACAATAGGGCTCAGGACAAAACCTTAGAAAAACATGTGTAAATGTTTATTTTCTGTGATATTGTAAGTAAGGCTTCATGTTATTGTCCGATCCAGTTGAGCTTACAGATCCCAGCTCCAGTCACCTGTGGCATTTTTTTTATAAGAAAATATTTGGGCGAAGAAAAACCTCACCTTTCAAATGAGACTGTGTATGTACATGTAGTAAAGATGGAACAAGAGCAGCTTTAAATATACACTGGGTAGATCTTCAGGCTGATTTTACAGGATGCGTAAGAGGATAAAAAGTATAAAAGCATTCTGAGAATGTGTGGGTTTGAATATTGTCACATATACTCCACACAAAGCAAGCAAAATAAGTTGACAATCAAAATAAAATGCTGCCGGGCAACTGTAAGATTAGAAACATGTCTGAACAGTGGACCAGTTTGATTGGCACGATCAGACGAGTTTGTCCGAAGGCTGTCCGTGTATCATGTAAACAGGTTACAGAGAAAAACAGACTGATGATACAAAGCGCTGTGGGAAATGAAGACACAGTTGTGGGTGTTGTGACTAAAAAAATTGTATCTGTAGGGACTTGTAAGCAATTAAAATTATGAACTCAGTAACGAGGCATGTACACCGGTGGGTGTGCGTTTCGCAGCTACAACAGTGGTTTCAAACTTGGTGGAAATACCAGTTTGCGGTAGGAAGGTTACAGATATATCTTATTTACTGTTTGCCCACAGACAAATGTTACTGAAGTAGTATCACCAGAAGAGTATGTACAGTGTGTTATCATTTATTGTCTGGTGCAACTTGCAAAAATGTGAGTATATTTTTAACACAAATGCATGTTGTCCTGTAGACGGGCACGTGCACAGATAGACCTCACATGGTGCTCAAGCACCTGCCCTTTTGCCCTCTGTCTCGAGTGCCCTTTTTGCAAGACACGTTTTTCTATTTCTCTCAGTAATTTCATATTTAGCTCAGTCAGGAACACTTCAGCCAAAGAAAACGTTATTTCCATTTCCACTGTTCTGGGGCCTCTCTGGCAGAGGGCGAAAAGAGCACACCTCTCTGCCCTTCCACGCACAAACAAGGAAAGCCTAAGGCAGGGAGAGCAGCAGCAAAGACCCCCAGGAACAGAACAGAGCAGCATCAATGACAAACAGAAATGACATATTAAGTCTGAGTATGAAAAGGAGGAGCTGGGGTGGAGGCAGGTTGCAAAGCAGCTTGCAGAGGAAGCAGCAACAGTAGGCAGGCCGGAGCAGTTTAAATAGGGCGCCCTGAATGAGTTTCACCAACTGGGGCGATATCAGATCAGCTGATAAAGACGCGTCACAACCACCACCAAGTGACACTTCTGAGGCGGAAGTTTCCACTGAAACATGTCAAGGTGTGTAACATCCTAACATGTCTGAGATAAAAGAACAGCTAAAGTCATTATCAGAAACTAAAGACATAATGAACACCATTGAACTATTAATTTGAACTAAGTTTATATCTCCCACACTGTGGCA